CATTAAGTACGTCAATAGGGCACAGAGTTAACAGAGAGACATCTGAATTAAACAATACCATATATTAAATGGACTTAACAGACATCTACCAAGTATTCCACCCAAGCACCAAAGGACATACTTTCTACTCAGCACCCCATGGAACCTTCTCCAAAATTGACCATATACTGGGCCATAAAACAAACCTCAACAAATACAAAAATATTGAAATAATTCTATGCTTCTATTGAACCACAATGCAATAAAGCTCAAAATCAACACCAGACAAAGCCCTAGTCACTACACGAACTCATGGAGATTAAACAACACACTCCTAAACAATGAGTGGGTCAAAGGAGCAATTAAGAAAGAAACACAAGAAAGCAGTCCTGCCGGGCATGGTGGCACACGCCTATAGTCCCAGCACTCGGGAGGCAAAGGCAGGCATATCTCTATGAGTTCGAGGCCAGCCTGGTGTACATAGTGAGTTCCAGGCCAGTTGGGGCTACAGGAAGACCCTGTCTTAAAAAGACCCCCCCCCAAAAAATTAGAAAGAGCCCAAATAAATGACCTAACACTGCAACTCAAGACGCTGAGACAAGAACAAATGGAACCCAAACCCAGCAGAAGAGAATAACAAAAATCAGAGCAGAAATTAATGAAATAGAAACAAAACAATACAAAGAATCAATGAATCTAAGAGCTGGATCTTTGAAAAGCTAAACAAGATAGACAAACCCTTAACCCAGTTAACCAAAGAAAGAGTGAGCAAACCCAAATCAACAAAATCACAGATGAAAGGGGGAACATCACAACAGACACCCAAAAGATCTAGACCATTATAAGGGAATATTTTAAAAACCTATGTGCTGCAAAATTTAAAAATCTCAAAGAAATGAATGGGTATCTAAAATCATGGAAACCACCAAAATTAAACCAAGAAGAGATTAACAGTTTAAACAGTAATACAAAGCCAACTAAAAAAAGCCCAGGCCCAGATGGATTTATAGCAGAATTCTACCAGACATTTAAAGAAGACCTCCAACCAATACTACTTACATATTCAAAACGACAGAAACAGAGGGAAAACTCCAAAATTCCTTCTATGAAGCCAGTATGACTCTAATGCCCAAACTGGGTAAAGACACAACCAAAAAAGAAAACTATAGACCCATATCCTTAATGAACATTGATGCAAAAATTCTCAACAAGATACTTGCAAACCACATACAGACACACATCAAAAAGATCATCCACCATGATCAAGTCAGCTTTATTCCAGAAATGCAGGGATGGTCCAATACATGTAAGTCAATAAACATCATAAATCATATAAATGGACTCAAAGACAAGCACCACATGGTCATCTCAGTAAATGCAGAGAAGGCCTTTGACAAAATTCAACATGCATTTATGTGCCTGGTCTACATAGTGAGTTCCAGGACAGCTGGGGCTACAGGGAGACTCTGCTAAAAAAAAAAAAAAAAAAAAAAAAAAAAACCAAACTGAAAACGAGCCTACCATATGACCCAGTTATACCACCCAAAGGACTCATCTTATTGCAGAGACACTTGTACAACCATAGTTGTTGCTGCTCTTTTCACAATAGCAAAGAGATGGATGCAGCCTAAGTGCCCCTCAACTGACAAGTGGTTAATGAAAATGTAGTACATTTACACAATGGAATTCTACTCAATAGTAAGGAAAGATGAAATAATGAAATTTGCAGGTATATGGATAGACCTAGAAACTGTTCTTCTAAGTGAAGTAACA